TATGACAAATTATAATTTGAATGGTGGAGTGAAAAGATAATCACAGGCTGAAGGACAACACCATGAAAGAAACAGCTTAAAAGTGACAGCAGTCTAATACAAAAAATACTCCTAGGTTCAGTTCAGCCAAAAGGTGGATGTCATCCAGAGGCAGAATGACACAGAGTCCTTCTATTCAAGTACATTATGCTCTTTACAATGTCCTCTCTATCTCCTGTGCTTCCTCTAGGGTCCCTCATATTATAAAAGTGCTGGGATGGAAGCCTTACAGTTAAGGAATAGTGTTGTTAACCAATGGTGGGTCTGTACTGTAGGAATTAGGCTGAAAAGAAGATCATGGTTCTCCATGTTAACACAACTACTTTAAATCTGAATAATTTGATTGGAATTCAAATGAAATGAAATAATTATTTTTCCAAAGTTCATCAAGAAATTCTTTAATACACATAGTCTATGCCTCTATCAGTTACTTGAGTCCTGCTTTTCATTTACCAGAGCCCTGCAATGACCTCACTTTGTATATTCCCAACAAGAACATAGCCTGGCCATCAAATCACAGATAAAAAATTTCTGACAATCTAAACATCTCTTACTCATAAAGTAGATCTGTTTTGGCTGCCTTATACCCTTGAGTGTGTCCATAAGTTCAGAACAAAGTTGTACAAATCTGTCTGGAATAACATCACCAATGTGGTCATAGACCTCATCAGGGGCAGGGTACTTCTCCAGGGTCAGCTGTGTGAACTTGGCAGTATGCTGCAGCAGTGTCTTCAGACTGCCCATGGACAATAAGTTCTTCACAAAATTGACTTCAGTGATCTGGAAACAATGGCTCAGCACAGGCAGGAAGGCACTGATTTGGGTGTCCATGATCATACAGCCCTTCAATTTTAAGGTCTACAGAGCAGCTGTCAGTCTTTGTAGCAGGCTTCCTAAAAATGGATCATTTAAATGTATGAAGGTGACACCACTCAGATCCAGGTGTTTGAGCTTCTGGATGCTTGGACACTGGGATAGATACTTCACATATGAATGTGACAGAATGCAGTGAGTGATAGCTAGGGTCTCTAATGGACTCTCCAAGCACCTAGAGAGAAAAGGAGAGAGAGATAAAAGGCTTTACAACATTGAAGTTCAATAGTTCCAGAGAAAAGGCTGTGAAATCAAGGTTACAGAGTGTCCTTAGCCCGAGGTCATTCTCAGACCTTTATTAATGTCAAGGACAAGATGCTCCCTGATGAAGAGCTAACAACTAATGTCATATTCTTCTAGGTAGGACATAAGCTATCACTGTGCCTGCTACTGCCTCACCTCCACAGTTCCCTCTGTACTGGTAAGCAGAAAACATGTTTTGGGACAGATGATGTAAGCAGGAGAACCCAGAAAGATGAACTGAGAACCACTCAGAACCATCCCCAGCTCTGCCAACATTTATCTCAATGTGCTCCAGCTTCCACACACAACCTCCTTTCTGTTCATAGGGTTTCCCTTGACCACAGTCATCCACTCATTTCCCATGTACTCAGACCCTACCTATGCTCAAATTTCCTTTGAACCATGAGAAGTCAGAGGAGATGGAAACTGCTTTACTAAAGTGAGAAATTAGGGTGCAACAGCAGCATAAATTACTATTTCAATTACTCTAAGCTCACATGTATATACATTTAACACTAGCTGGGAAGCCACTATATAAACTGATGTTTAATGTAAAGAAAAACAACAACTACAACAACAAAATGCTTTGCTCACCCCAGGGTTAAGCTCTTTGTCCTTTTATACCTGAGCACTGGGTCCAGGCGACCATTCAGGAAGTAGACTTTATTCAAATAGAAATACTGGAGCTTATTCAGTTTGGAGAACTGGGAAAAGATCTCTGTAAAACAGCAGGCTTCCATTTCCTGGTCCCAAGGCAAATGCACAGGTACATAGATTTTCTTGAAAATGAGTTTCTGGAGGTTTTTCATCTGGTCCTGGCCATAGACTAGCAACGCAAGGGTGTGAATGTCCCAGCATGTGATTATTTCCAATTCCTGGTTTAAGCCTGTGTCAAAAACCTCCAAAACATCCAGTGGGTCATAGGCAGGAAATGCTCAAAACTCTAACTTCTGACAGATCACCTGTATCACATCTTCCCTCTGCTTGGCCCTCTGATAAAAATATTGTAGATATTTGGAGGGATGGTGGGACATGAGGATAGAGTTCATCAATACAGTCAGGGCCTGTTTCCTGTCCAGGATGGGATGATTTCCTACTGCCTGGTTGTTGCCAATTACATCTGGAGAGCAGACTATATGCTGTCTTCCAGCTCAAACATTCCAGAAGTCATGGTGGACATCTCGTAAATCAAGCACTTGTAGTTTCCACTTCCTATAGGTAAAGTAGAAGGACGTTCATATGACAGGAGACACAATGTATAATCTGGATAATCCATAATTCCACTTCCCTTAAAACAATTCTTTGAAAACAGACAGCTTCCATTTCTTTCTGGGGAAGTGGCAGGGACAGACTCATTGCATATTGACTATTTCTGTCCTAAGCTGTCCTGCATAAACCACTGTCCTGTTTCTTTATTTCCGTTCTTGAAGATACTGACTCCTACAATCAGAATCCTCTAATTCACCTAGGACCACATTATGAGTACTGTATTGACTTCCATCCAGACAAACTTCCACCCTCACCCCCGTGCTACCAAGCTCTTACTTACCTGGGTTGATCCTTTTGTGCCAACAGTAAATCAAGGACATCAAGCAGAGCTCTCAAGGTCTCCAGGTAAGTCATTTCCATCAGGGCTCCCACAGGAAGGCATGAGAAGGGCCAGGCTACCACCATCTGCCTCAGGATCTTAGGTTGTTTGCTGGTAAATGCATCCTTGAAGAGTGGTGGGAAGAGTTCCATGGGCAGGTCCTCCAGAGTAGAGATGGCCAAGGCTTCATCTTTCAGCAGGCTTCTTCTTGCCAGCTGCTGGAGTGTTGGTGGAGCTGTTAAACTCGTCATGACTTTCAGGTATGCTGATGCTATGGACATATCCAAAGAAAGAAAATATTTCATTCAAAACTCTTTGAGCAAGCCTTTCACACCCCACCCCACCTAATTATATGAACCAGGCAGGGGGACCAATCCCTGGTCTGGTGACATTGCAAACCCTGTGATTCAGATTACTAGATATCTACCTTTCTCATTGCCACAGTTCCTTCAAGGTCCTTCAAGTTCCTTCATGGGGGCAGCATGCACCCATTTCCACAGATCTTTCCTGATATTCTCCACAATCTAATGTAATGTTCCCAAGAGTCCTACTCTAAGCTGTAACAGGAGACTCATACATGAATCTGACACTTTTTGTTTGTTTGTTTGTTTGTTTTGAGACAGGTTTTCTCTGTATAGCCCAGTCTGTCCTGGAACTCTATAGACCAGGCTGGCCTCGAACTCAGAAATCTGCCTGCCTCTGCCTCCTAAGTGCTGGGATTAAAGTTGTATGCCACCACTGCCCGGCCGAATCTGATACTTTTATGTGAAACAATAAAAGTTTTACTACAATCAGTGGAACAATATATTGTATAAAATGGATCACATTTTTCTTCCATGATATTTAGAAGCAGGATTCATACTATGCTCTAACATGGTCTTTAAGTGATTGAATGCATTGAGGATCTGAGCAGCCTTCTATCAAAGGGTTCTTTCATGCTTCTCACTACTTTTCCTCCCACTTTCATCAGACTTGGGAAACCTGAACCATTCAGGTAACTTTTTCTTCTCCACCATCTTCCCTGTTCATTGAGTCCTCTCAGGCCTCCTAGTCTGCCTTAAGCACCCTGTGTTCCCTCTGGATATGCAATCTCCTGCCACCTTCAGCAGAACCGTGGATCAGAAAAAAAACAGGTAAGCATTCATTCCCTCTCGCATCTTCCCTGCTCACTAAGACCTCTGGTACAAATCAAGATACCTCCCTCTCTCTCTCCCTCTCTCTCTCTCTCCCTCTCTCTCCCTCCCTCTCTCCCTCCCTCTCTCTCTTCCTCTCTCTCTTCCTCTCTCTCTTCCTCTCTCTCTCCCTCTCTCTCTCCCTCTCCCTCTCTCCTTCTCTCTCTCCTTCTCTCTCTCTCCCTCTCCCTCTGTGAGTCACTTCAATATCTTAAAGAAGATACACTTCACATGAAGGTGTGAACCCCCCCTCAAGGACCTGTCACAGGGAACCAGGGCCTGGTGTTAGGACATATTTCTCTGCCTAAGGAATGAAGCTTTTCTTAGCCAACATAAAAACTGTTCTGGAAGTATGAAGATCTAGATGGCTTAAGGTAATATCATGTTCTTCTCATTTTAATATCAGGTCTCTGAGGATTCATTTGTTGCAAATATTGTCTTTCAGCAGAGGTTAAATACAAGGACATATGTCCTGAAATGTGCCTGCCTTGGTCCTCGTTTTTCATGCTTGCTGAATATGCCTCCCCCCTCATCCCATTGTTCTCCATAACTAACTCAGTTGTTGTGATCTGAGTGTACTACATACCAACTACTTTCCAAAACATTGAGCAGTTTATTAAGCTCTGTGCTTTGTGTCCCATTAATGAGCCCTGTTCCTGGGATGCAAGGAACTGTAATCTGAGATTGACATATAATTATGGTGATGAGGGATGAATAAACCAGATACAGGTACAGAAATTCTAAGAATGATAATGTTCTGTGCTCTAACAGAGACATATCAACAACCCAAAATATTTATTAAATAACAAATATTTATTGTATAAACTAAAAGAGAAGGCAACCTCCTCATGGAAGGGTGCCTCTATTATAGTACACACAAACTACCATAATCCTAGAGAAGAAAAGAATGCTTCATGTTATCTGTAGATGCTACATTCATTTACCAGCTCAGAGAAAGATCTTGCCTTTCCAGTGTGTTTCAGCCCTATAGGTGATTGACATTTCCATGTTCCATACACTTAGGATTTAATCAATCCCCAATACTCAGCTTCCATTTCTCTCTTCCACAATCAACCTTACAGTAGTTACTTTTTAAAAAGGCAACTTTGGGTCTCCAGATTATAAACATAGTAACCACCACACTTAGAGCATTGGATTGTTTCAAAGGTGACCTTCTTAGGCTCTCTGTTGACCCTGAGTATATCCAGGAGCTCAGGACAAAAGTCTTCTAATCTGTGTGAAAGGATTATACCCCTGTCATAGCACTCCAGAGGGGCAGGGTATGCCTCCCTTTTCAGTTGGCTCAGCTGGGCTGTGTGGCATAGAAGTTCTTTCAGGAAAAGCAAAGAAAAGTTGTTATCATGGAATCTGACAAGTCTGAGGTTGGAACATTGGCTTAGGGCAGGCAGCACTGTACTGAACTGAAAGTCCTGTATACCACACGACTGTAATTCCAGGTATTTCAGGGTATGTCTAACTATCTCAAGGAAATACCCAAGAGGCTCAATAAGTAAATAAGGAAAATTAATTTTAGCTAGTTTTAGAGATTCGAGCTCAAAAATATTTACGCAGTTGGGCAGGCAATCCATGTCTGACTGTGAGAGGTTACAGTTAGTGATGCTAAGTGACTCCAAGGGTTTCTTCAGGAACCTGGGGAGAGAAAACATTATTGCTTGCTGTCAAATGGTGTTGAAGAAGATTGATACGATTGGCAGCTAAGCAGATGACATTTCTCCCAAACTTATTCTGAATGCATATTGAAAACCCTCAGGCCGGGCGGTGGTGGTGCACGTCTTTAATCCCAGCACTTGGGAGGCAGAGGCAGGTGGATTTCTGAGTTCGAGGCCAGCCTGGTCTACAGAGTAAGTTCCAGGACAGCCAGGACTACACTACACAGAGAAACCCTGTCTCAAAAAAACCAAACCAAAACAAAACAAAAAAAAGAAAACCCTCAGGACATGTCCTTTTGTTTTCTTCTCACATACCTCACAACATTCTAGTGTAAGTCCTTAAGATATCACCATAGGCACGATTCAGGGCCTGACAGGAAACCACAGCAATGGGGCAACATATCAGGGCAACATGCTATCTGTAGGGAGGACTAACATCCCCAACAAAATTCAACAACTTCCTAGTGCTGTTTTTAAGAGTTCTACGAGGTTTTGTTCCTCCAAGTTCCATGATTCTATCTTCACATTGAAACCCATTGTCCCATATTTCTCATCTACTCAATAAGTTTCTAGACTCAAAACTTTTTACAAGTAAACCAAAAGAAGTTGCTAGTTCCTGTTCATGCAGATCTTAGCACAGGCTCATTGGCTCAATATGCTGTCTCTCAGTGATAGGTTTCTGTTTGTCAGACCATAAAAGCTTCCATAGCTTGCAAAAAAACAAAACAAAACCACATGAAAACCAAGGCAAAAAAAAATGTTTTTTCTGGTCTACTATTGGACCCTTCCTTACCTGAGGAATTCTTTCAGTTTGTCAAACATAAAGAAGACAAAATTTATACAGAGTCTCTGGAGACAGTGGAATGCAGAAAGTAGAGAAATATCCAACTCATTCACATATAGCATATCTGTGATATGACTTAGTGTGAGATATAGAAGATTGTTCATCTGTCTCAGGTAGGGATTAAGAAAAGCCAAATCTTTTAAGGTGACATAACTTATAATCAGCTTCTGTATACAGTGTGCATGTACAGTTTTGAAGATTTCTTTGACTGTGTCTTTGGTTATGCCCTGAATCTTCAGCTTTCGACAGCATAGATGAATTGAATCTTTTCTCTGTTGGGCCCACAGCAACAAGTAGGTGGTAGATTCATCAAGTCTGCCCTCCATGAGTTCGAGTTGTGTTGTCACCTTCAATTCTTTCTTCATCCCACAGGCAGGACTAATCCTCACTGGCTTCTTCTTTGTCATGGATACTGGTAAGCCTTCACCTTCATGGGATCTAGCCCATATGCCACACGAGTCATAATATTCACTCATCCAAATGATCTCTCTGAGTTTGCACCTACTGTGGGAGAAATGAGTATAACTCTCAGAAGGTAAAAGAAGACAGATTTTACAGTCTGACTCTATACTACATATCACATTTAAGCTGATTCTTTCAAAAGTTTGTTTTCCTGTGTCTAGAGTCAAACCCTGAGACTCATGCTCAGTGAACGAATAGCATTCTTTGCAAGACAGGCATCTTTAGCCCTATGATATTTCCCTTCATGCCAAGCTCCTTAATCCCAATGCCATTTCACTTATACCTTCCACGGATGTAGGAAAAGTCCCACTCCTCTTGGATGTGTCTATTCTTTTCTGTCTTCTACATTATTTTTTATTTGCCCAGAGAGTTAAGACTAAGTTCAAGCCACTACACTCCTCTCAGCCTCTACATTCAGTAGAGAACAGTCCAGAATGTGGGTTGAAGAAACAATTGATGATCAGAAGCCTTTGATCCACAGTTGACCAAATATTCTGTGTCCCTAGTTTCTCCTTCTCAGCACTCAAAGAACCTTCCTCCGACCCCAGAAAATCTTCCCTACCTGGAGTGAACCTTTTGTGCAATCAGTATATCTAGTCCCCCAAGCATAGCCTTCAAAGTCTCCAAGTTGAGGTTTTCTATCATCCTTCCTACAGAAAGGTATGGGTAGGGCCACACAGGTATCATGGCTGTCAAGACTTTTGTATATCCATTAATGAAGGCCTCCTCAAACATCACTGGGAACAGAATATTGGGCAGGTCCTTGAGAGCAGAAATGGCTAAGGCCTCATCCCTCAGTAGCCTCTGTCTTGCCAGCTTATCAAGGGTGAGTGGAGAGTAGACTATCATTGTGTCTTCCTCTAAAGAGTCATCCTAGGGAAGCCAGGAAAAATAAACCATGAATGACAAGAAACTTTGGAAGCCTTTCTGCTCACACAAGGAAATGTGAGGGATAGATGACTAATGATGAGTATAGACAACTCAATCTGTCAATTTGAGCACACTCAGTTTGTTCTTTGTTCTTTGACATAATATCTATCCAGAACTACCTATATCTTTGGCTGTCCTGAAACTTGCTTTATAGATCTCAGTGGCCTGGACCCACAGAGAATTGCCTGCAAGTGCCTCACAAGTGTGGAGATTACATGAGTTTTCCATCACTGCTCAGCCTGGGCCAACTCAGCATATCAAATCCAGAACTGCTTGGTTTGGCCTGTGCTGGTTTTCAAGCCAGAATTCTCTCTGGTGGTATGATTTTTCTCCAAAGTATCCTAGTTCCCAAAGGTCACATCCAAATGGAGCCACAGCTGGGGTGAATACATCCCGCTGGGAAGGGATCACAAGGAACTCTGAAACTTCAGCCATTTGTTGGAGGATGACTGGACTTAGCTTTCTGGGCCCTCAAAGAAATCAGTTTCCAAATTTTCCACAATCTTTATTTATCCAACTACACTGCATGGAATAAGTCACCTTATCTTTGAAATTCCCATCATTAGTTATTGATATCAATCTTTGATTGTGACCCTGACAGGACTTTTGGAGAAGGTGTTGGTAAAGTTCCAAGCTGGAGGTCTGCAAACTACAGAGCTAAGCAGAGTGGGAAAGAAACACTAAAGTCAGTTGTCCTTCAGTAGCCATTGACATGGTCTGTGACTCTTTATAAAGCATCCAAAATAAAGAGACTATGAGGAGAAGAATATAATTCACATGCTGAGGCAAGAGGCTCACTAGCAAAATTTCCTAACTGGTTACTTCATCAGCACCAAAACAGCTAGTATTTTGTGTTTGATTGCTTGTTTTGCATAATTTATTTAATTATACTTCTATTTATTTATTTATTTATTTATTTATTTATTTATGTAATGTATATGAGTACACTGTCCCTGTCTTCAGACACACCTGAAGAGGAAGAGAGCATCAGATCCCATTACAGATGGTTGTGAGCCACCATTTAGTTACTGGGAATTGAACATAGTACCCCTGGATGAGCTCTCAGTGTTCTTAACCACTGAGTTATCTATCCAGCCCCATGTTAAGCCTTCTTAAAAAACACACATAAGATCCAGCTATTTTGACACTCACATTCTCACTCTGGCTCCCTGTTGCTGGGATTAAAAGCACACCAAATAACTCCAGGCTTAAAGTGACATAAATATCAGCCCTCAAGGCATTTGATTAACTCACACATGACATTTCATCCTAGAATGCCTACAACTCAAGGTCATCCCGACATTCTTAGTTAGACTGTCTCATAAAAAACAAAAACAAAACTACATAAAACAAAAATTTCCACAGAAACCACAATGACCCAGTTAATAATTAGATGTAATTGAGAACACACTTGGATATTCAGGCTAAAAAGGCCTCAGATGGCTGAGGTAGGAGACTCTCTGTGAGTTTAAGGCCTGGCAATCTTTTTTTATTTTTTTAATTTACATTTCAGCCATTGCCCCCTCTCACATACCCTCATCTAATTACTTTTCAGTCTTTCCCAAAAGGATGCTTCCCCCACACCCCCAAACCCTTCAGGCATCCACCTTCTCTAAGCCCTCATGTCTTTCCCACTGAAGCTATATCAGGCAGTCCTCAGCTATATATGTACTGGCAGCTTTGGATCAGACTGTGTACATTGCCAGGTTGGGTGGCTCAGGCTCTGGGAACTCCCATGCTTCCATGTTAGTTGAGACTAGTGGGATTACTATGGGGTCTCCCTCCTCTTTTTCAATCCTTCTCCTAATTCTAGGTAGAAAAATCTCTGAAGACCAAGAGGCAATTAAAGAAATGGTCAAGTCCTTAGTCTTCAGGGAAATGCAAATCAAAACGACCTTGAGATACCACTTTACAACAATCAGAAAGGCTAAGGTGGAAACTTCCAGTGACTGCACTTGCTTGTGAGATATGAAGAAAGAGAACACTCCTCCATTTCTGGTGGGATTGCAAACTGGTGCAAGCATTCTGGAAACCAATCTGATTGTTCGTCAAAAACAAGTGGAAACACTTCTAGCTGAATAGCCAGCTATACCACTCTTGGTCATATACCCAGAAGATGCTCCACCATATCGCAAGGTACTTGCTCTTCTATGTTCATAGCAGCCTTATATTTAATAGCCATATGCTGGAAACAACCCAGATAGCACTCAACTGAAGAATGGATACAGAAAATGTAGTTCATTTCCACAATGGAAGACAATTCAGCTAATAAAAAAATGAGGACATAAAGAATTTTTTAAGGCAAATGGATGGAACTAGAAAATATCATGGAGTGAGGTAACAAAGACCCAGAATGACATGCATGGTGTATACTAACTGGTAAGTGGATATTAGCCAAAAAGGACAGAATATCTAAGATTCCAGCCAGGTAAACTTATTTAGAGCACACTCATCTTAAAAGAGAAGAACCACCAAGTAGAAAATTATATGAACAAAATTTCAAGTGAGGACAATTCTAGACTAGGTTGAATGAGATGAGGTATCCTTCAGTAGCTTTAGGACTTACTTGATCTGGGCACTGGAGACAGATCGCCATATTCAGGCAGGAGAAGATTGTAACTCCAGGCTTCAAGAGTCTGAGGGTTTCTCTGCCTGCTATGACTTTATATTTTTTTCAGCTGAACCGTCCCGTTGTAGCCACACCCTCCCAGCCAAAGTAGGCTTCTGATTCAATAATTGAGTCTCCACCCACTAGATCATTTTTAAATTTGGATAGTGTAGGTAAATTGGATTAGATCTGTACACAGGAAGATTCTTAGGCTAGTGAGATAGTCAAGAACTGATTTAATGAAGCAAAGTGTTTGTGCCTCATGACTTTAATCACAGCACTTGCAAAGCAGAGACAGGTGGATCTCTGAGTTCAAGCCCACTCTTATTCTACAAGCATATGGCACTTATCAAAAATTGTTCTGACTATATATTAAGGTCAACTCCAGGACATGGCCTTCTGTTGTCTTCTCACACAATTCATAGCATGCTAGTCTGAGGCCTGTGAGTATTAGCATGAGCATGATTCAGAGCATGGCTGGAAATCAGAGCAATGGCTGTATAAGGCCAACACAGTGAATGTAGGAAGGTCTCTTACATCCTTCATAAGCACTTACCCTTATCCCAGTCCCTGCCCAGTGATTCCTACGTATACTCCATGCTCCAGAACTTCATGGAAAACAAGATTGAAAGGATCAAGTTGGTAATTCTTATTCTTCTCTCCTGTGAATTCTTCCCAACATTCATTTGTGTTTGATTCCTTCCTCTTTGTCTCAACATATAGCCCAGACTGGTCTTAAACTCAAGAGCATCCTGTCTCAGTGTCCCCATGTCTACAGCTATACAAAGAAAGAGAAGAGAAAGGAGAGGAGGGAAACCATTGCAAGCTGAAGGATTCACTTGAATGTATTTTCAGATACACATTAATTCAGGATACTCTTATGTAGGCACATTGTTCTAGAGCTGCTTACAGGAAATTTAAAGGCCTTGGATCACTTTTAAATTTTAGACAGTCTGGATGCGCAGCCCAGTTTCACTACTTCATGGAACTTCTACCTCATTCTCCAAATTAGTATAATAAAGCCCAGAGTCACACAGGACCTTGTAACAACTTCAAAAGTAAAGAGTAATGCCATACATTTCAGAGATTCTCCTAAGTCTGCTTGGCAGACTCAATGTGTGGAAAGCAGAACCTGGGTGTTTGGGCCTATGACAGTAGGACTGTCTATTTTGAGAGCCTTTATACATGATCAGTGTCTTTTTGCCATGACAAGATCCTAGTCACATTGCCTTCTCCTGAATAAAATTTCCAAAGTGAAATGAGATTCAATAGAGCAAGATTTGGTACCTGATGGGACAATGATTAATTGTACCTGTCAGTTCTCGTGAGAGCCTCCATATGCTGAGACTGATGAGTGTTTGGACTTGAGACCTCAAGAGAGTACAACAGGACACACTGAGTCCTCTACTATTGCAGAGAAGGGACTCTGGCCTTGTGGTGCTACCTGGCATTGGGGAGACTAATATGTCCTAAGGAATAGCATGAGTTTATGACACCTGAGTGCTTTACCAGACCCCTTCTGACTCAGACAAGTCCCTGTGGACAGGTATGCTGAATGATGTCCTGAGCTCCTGGATGCACAGAGCCTGAAGTCAGCCCAAGGCAGCCCAAGATGCAGAAACCAGCAGCTTCAATCAAGTCCTCTCAGCCAGCAGACACTAGGCAGGAACTTGCATCTGTAGTTCAATCCTGAGGAAACCACCAGGATTGCCATAGAAGCAGCCAGCTGGGACAGGAACTGCACAAACAGTTCGTTCATTCATTTGTTTGTTTGTTTGTTTTTCGGGACAGGGTTTCTCTGTGTAGCCCTGGCTGTCCTGGAACTCACTCTGTAGACCAGGCTGGCCTCGATCTCAGAAATCCACCTGCCTCTGCCTCACAAGTGCTGGGAATAAAGGCGTGCACCACCACCGCCTGGCCCAACACAAGCAGTTCTTGGCAATAGCAGCATTATCACAAGTTGAGCTCAACATTACTATGTAAGGCAAACCAATAAGTGGGTGCTGTTAGTAAAAATTAGTGGGAAGAACTTTCCAAGGCAAAGCTCAGTACTGGTCTCCTACTGTCTGTAGGGTAATAGTTACTCCTTTGTTAAGCAACCTTTACATGTCCGCTATACAAACATATTCTTTCATCTGTGCCTGCTTCAGGAAAATATTCTTCACGTGTCTGCTTTAGCAAGATATCCTTTCACCTGTATGCCCCAGCAAAATATCATTTGATATGACTAACTTTCCAGAGAAAATGAATGTTTCTACTTCACTAGGGAATTGATGCAGGGATATCTCAGAGTTGGAGGCCAGCCTTTTCTATATAGCAATTTCCTTTACAGACAGCACTACACAAAAAAAACTGTCAAAAGAAAGGAAGGAAAAAAAGAAAGGAGAAAAACCAAAACCCAAAAAAGCCAAAATAAAAGATATACGTTTTAAATCAAAAGCACTTGTGAATCTTTAGTTACAAGATTGCCAGCCTGCTGTGCATAAAAAATACTGCTTAGAAATCATCTTCAATTTAATTTTACTGTATATATCTGTATATATACATTTATTTATCGTTTATTTATTCAATCATCCATTCATTCACTAAATTGCTGGAGTAATAATCTCATTTATCATACTTTAATTTTTGTTCTTACTT